TCAAGTGATTTTCCTGCCTCAGCTTCCCAAGTAGCTGAGATTACTGGCACACGCCACCACGCCCAGCTAATTTTTGTATTTTTAGTAGAGACGGGGTTTCACCACGTTGGCCAATCTGGTCTCAAACTCCTGACCTCAACTGATCTGCCCGTCTCGGCCTCCCAAAGTACTGGGATTAGAGGCATGAGTCACCACACCTAGGTCCTAATTTTTATAGTTTTAGTAGAGACGGGGTTTTACCATGTTGACCAGTCTGGTCTTGAACTCCTGACCTCAGGTGGTTTGTGCGCCTCGGTCTCCCAAAGTGTTGGAATTACAGGCATGAGCCACCGCACCCAGCCAGCAGTGAGGGAGTTTAAGTCTTGGTTTAAAAAACAATTATGATGCTAACACCCTTCAAATTAGATTTGATGAAAGTTTTATTTGTTATTCTTTGGTTATTTCAGGCTCGTGCTGTCTTGGAAAGAGAATTTAACAACCTTTTGGTCATGGGGACTGATAGAAGGTTTGATGAAGTAAGTTTTTGGCCTAATGTTCTTTAAATGTCTATGAAACGTGTGTAAATGTTTAAATGTGTGTGAAATGTAAGCTGTTATTATTATACTCAGGACATCATGTAGCTAGGCAGTCTCTCTGGATGTTAGAAGTTAGGATTTGCTCTTATGAATTTATTAACAAATGAGCCTTTAAAAACTCATACCTGGGCCAGGCGCAGTGGCTCATGCGTGTAATCCCAGCACTTTGGGAGGCGGAGGCAGGGGTATCACCTGAGGTCAGGAGTTTAAGACCAGCCTGGCCAATATGGTGAAACCCCATTTCTACCAAAAAACACAAAAATTAGCCAGGCGTGGTGGTGGGTGCCTATAATCGCAGCTACTTGGGAAGCTGAGGCTGGAGAATCGCTTAAACCTGGGAGGTGGAGGTTGCAGTGAGCTGAGATTGCGCCACTGCACTCCAGCCTGGGCGACAGAGAGAAACTCTATCTCAAAAAGAAAAAAACACCCCCCAAAAAAAACCACAAAAGTAATACCTTCAAGAAGGTAGTTTTGTTATTTTTGCTCTTTAATTTTTGACATCCCTCAAAAATGGTTTTCACATCATAAAACATTGGTTGCAGCTTAGGAATAGAGTCTGTAAGTTGGGTTTTAGGGACCACTAGGTATCCTACCCCAGTCCAGAGTATACCCCCCATAATCCTGTGCATTGGTGGGGTGGCGTGTTTCAGAAGTATATTAAAAACACAAAATGTTAATTTCCCCTTCAAACCATGACTCATTTGTTTCACACTATTAGGAGTCTCTTAATTGGACCTTAAGAAAACTTGAGTTTGACAGAGAGAATAGAAGGCCACCTCTAAAGATGAAGCACTCGTTGGCTGTATCCTGGCATAAAATAGAATTGTTTATAGCTTAAAAACTGTTTGTAGAGCTGCACGTGGCAGGGGCATACCTGTACTCCCAGCTACTTAGGAGGCTGCAGTGGGAGGATGGCTTGAGCCCAGGAGTTTGAGGTTACAGTGAGCTATAATCACACCACTGCATTCCAGCCTGGGCAACAGATCTAGACTCTGTCTGTAAAAAAATAAATAAAAATGAAAAATAAACTATTTTTAAGATAAATAAAAATGTATTATGTAGCAAGAAAGTGATTCCTGCAAGGTAAGAAGTAGAACACGATGCTGGGGAGAAGGAGCACATCCCCATGGCCCAGCACCGACCTCACTTCGCCAGCTGAGGCCCAGCCGGACCATCACCATGCCCCATTTCACGCTGAAGTTCCAGTTTGGGCAATATATTGTGTGGTCATCAAGAAGGGATGAAATACACGTGAACAAGAATACGTACATTCTTGAGTTCAGCAGTCATTTTAAAGGACATTTAACTTTACATCTCTGACGTTTATTTTTTAAAATGAATCTTGTTTTTTGTTGTTTAATTTACCAGGATGATGATAAAAGCTTTAGGAGAGCACCTTCATGGAGAAAAAAGTTTAGACCAAAGGACATTCGCGGCTTAGCTGCTGGGTCAGCAGAGACTCTCCCTGCAAACTTCCGGGTCACTTCTTCTATGTCTTCCCCCTCAATGCAGCCAAAGAAGATGCAGATGGACGGTATGTGATGGGTCGCGCTAACCTGCCACTTGCTGGGAGCATGAGCAGCTTTTTGTCTGGAACATTAATAATGATCTAAAACGGTCCAGTTAATATGTTACAAGGCACTTGAGTATGGTTGCATGTCCAAATATAAATGTTTTTAAATTAACTCTAACATTTGTTTATAAAAGTTTAACCATAATAATAGAATTTTTTAAACATTCTTGTCTGGTTGAATCTTAGCATATTTTTCCAACTAATAAAGCCCAGTATTCGTCTGTGTTCTCAGAGGGAGACTGAGGCATACTTGTAAATACGTGTCTGTGACAGGCCGTGCTAGAAAGCTCTTTCTGGAAATAGTAGTGTAGTAGTAGCTTCCAAACCACATGATTCACTGCTCTCCACACCGGAGAATATAACAGTATATTTTAAAGAACACACAGTTTACAGCTTGTGTGAGCTCTGCCTGTCCTTTCGGCCCTCCCTGCTGCTGCTGTTCTGTG